TGACCCCGATGACCTGTGGGATTCTCTGCTTTGTTGGAGGCTGCGTCTGCTGTGGCCGTGGGGGCTGCTCATTGGTTCCCACGGGCAGTTCAAATCGCCGGTGCATGAATTTACACGAGGGTCCCCCCGGGCACAATCCCACGAAGTAATTCACACAGATGACTCTCTGCGTGTGCCGATGCCTACACAGGAGACCATGCTTGCAGAAGCCGCGGTTGTACCAAGGGCAGTCTTTGATCTTGGACTCAGGGTCGATGTGCAGGAAGGGGCACTCCTTGTTGCTACACTCCCCGAACTTGGAGTAGAAGTAGCACTCAGGCATCTTGGTCATGTCATACTCGTGTAAGAACTCGCACTGGTCCCCTTTCTTGCACAGCTCTCGCAGCCAGTGTTTGCACACAACTGTCTTCTCGCCACTGATGTGGCGAAATGGGCACACGCCCCCTTTGCCACAGGCAGCTTTCAAAAAGAATTCACAGACAACAGCCCCCGACTTGTCCATGCTGGGGAAGAGCAGCAGCTGCGCCCCGAGCTGTTGCTCCACCGCGATCTCCAAGTCGAACCTGATGTGGTCCACGCTGGCGATGAGTTCCTGCATGGTGGCGGCGGCGGCCCCCCGGCCCGGCTCCCCCTCAGGTCTCTGGCCGCCCTCACACCTCTACCCGCCGCCCGCCCCGCAGCTCGCAGAACTCCTCCCCCTCGTCTCGCCGCCGCTGCCGCCGCCCGAGGGATGCCCTGCATCATCTTTTTGATGATGTTGACTTTTAATATTTCCCAACTCTAGTGCAGGTAGCTGAATTTGTAAGTAGAAATTAAGCCACACTTACTTGTTTCAGTTGACAACGCTTCATCTTTTTGAAGAAATACATGATGTCGTTTTTGGAACATATTCCATATAACTGGTTGTATAACAAGAAAACTATTTTTCCTAGTACAAATATCAGCATCTCTTTGATTAGAGATGCATACATGAAGTTTAAGATTATAATTGCCATTTCCATTTCTTATAGCATTAATTGATCTGTTAAGAATTCGTTTACATCAGGCATGAGATAATCAGCCAGCATATATACTAAAATACTCATGGCCTTAGTCTTTAAAAATGAAATAAGCCAATTTGTGGAAAACATAATAAATATTCTGGTAGTTTCAGTCTAACTTATGCTATGACTGACTCTATCTTGAAAAGTTAACCTTTTAGAAGTCAACTGTTACTTAAGTTAACTAGACAGGAATGAGTCTTGTCAAGGAGTGTGTGACATGGCAACTGGTGTTATTTTTGACTCAAAAGTCTTTGATTTTTCAAACAAGATCAGTGGTCACATGGGTTCCTAGTGCAAACGTCAGAGGTGGGGAGAGGAAGTGAGACTCTCATATGCTAATGGGTATGTATGACTAAGGGGAAGTATGACTAAGGGGACAAGATACCACTATGCAATATCACAAAAGACTATACAAAAAGAATTTTTACACAATTCTGAATATGAAAATGAATCATTTTCAAGTTCTAATTCTGTAGTGGACTGAATAAGGGTTTTTCTAATAATGGTAACTGTGGCCTGGAACCTGTGAAATTTACCTTCTGTGGCAAAAGGGCTTTAGCAAGTGTGATCAAGTTTAAGATATTCACGTTGGGGGATTCTCCTGCATATCTATCTGGAGCCTAATGAAATCATAAGTGTCCTTCTGCAGGGGAGGCAGAGAGAGAGACTTGAGTCCAGAAGAGGAAGAAGCTGATGTTAGCCTGGGATAAGGGAGAAAGGAATTTGGGAAGTGGGGGCCTGAGCCAAAGAATAATGTGGGCTCTGGAAGTAGGAAAAAGCAGGACTCATCAATTCTGCAGCTCTAACTGCCAAACTTGGGTTAATTATACACAATTAAATAGTAAGGAACCTTTATAAAGTCAGAGTGTCCTTACTAGACAAATATAACACATATTGGATGCTGTCATCTCAGAATGCCTCACCTGGCATCCTAATCTAGAACTAGCCCTCGTATCCCGTTAAAGGCATACAACTGTGGCTCTCGCCTCTTAGCTCTCTTGGCTGTTTTTACAAAGTTGGTGTGCATGTCATATAGAGAATCCACACACATGAAATGGGAATTGAGAAATAGAATCTACTGTCTGAGTTGTTTTGCTTAGATGCTCACTCGTGTTGGGTCCAATCTGGATCTCTGAGAGACCTACCTTCCAGGTTTTCTGTTGAAGCCAGAGTGAACAGTGAAGCCTGGATAATAGGGCCTGAGAATGCTGACTGGGCATGACAAACTGTAAAGTTTGAGTGGAGATTCAGGGTTTTAGGAATGATGTAGTATTTCAAGGATTTGGTAATGTTTTTCATTGGTGGGCTCAGGATGGGGCTGAGGACTCTTGAGTGGGTGGTTGAACTACCTGTTAAGAAAGGAGCAGTTAAGATAGTGGGTGAAGTTGAGGGTGCAGTTTTTCCAACTTAGATGGGCAGTAAGGGGGAGATGCAGACATGAGGGTAGTATAAGAGTTTTGAAGACAAAATTAGTATCCTGACATTGACCTTGAACAGGAGGGGGCACCAGGAAGCCTGTCTTACTGGGAAATGACAAAAAACACACGGGACAGAGAGAACAGAATTATGTGGGACTGAGGAAAACAGAGAGCCAGGAGAGAGTGGAGGATGACAGGGTACCTGGGCTGGGGTTGATCTGCAGTGTGGGGAACCTTTTACTTCTTTGTTGGCTTATCAGAGTGAACATACAATGAGGCCACAGGGAAAAGTGCAAGTGCAAGTGAACAGACTGCTAGATGTAGTTACAGTCTGGACCAGTTGTTCTTGGTTCACCCAGGATGAACCCCAACCATTACAGGATGGACACTGCTCTTCTCATTTAGCCTTGGTGTTTGGTGGGTCTGATAGAAGCCAGGTCATGATGAGAAGTTTTGGTTACCTGGTTTCTTACTGCCCCATATTCAGACTCTGTCTCTCAAAAGGCCTAGAAGCTTGTCAGGACCACTTCTTTCATTGTTGATAATGTGTGGTCTTGCTCAACTCTACGAGTCTTCACTGAACTCCCTTGTTGAGTTCTGACAGAAGCTCTCCAAGCACCTCTTTAAAAAAAGTTTATTTTTGAGTTGGAGTCTCACTCCATCACCCAGGCTGGAGTACAGTGGCACGATCATGGCCACCCCAGCATAGACCTGCCTCAGCCTTCCAAGTAGCCAGAACTACAGGCATGTGCTACCATGCCTGGATAATTTTTTATTTATTTAGAGACAAGGTCTTTACAAGTTGCCCAGGCTGGTCTCGAACCCACGGGATTAGGCAATCGACTTACCTTGGCCTCCCAAAGTGCTGGGATTATAGGCTGAGCCACCTAACTGAGCCTCCCAAGCACCTCTTAACTTCCTACCATGGCCAGAAGGAGATAAAAGGTGGAATAGTGTGTCCTTTTTGGAGAAAAGTATTTCCAGGGCGCCTCTTAGTGTTGGATTACTACAAATTTCATAGATTTGGCAGATCCCTGGATGGTCAGACATCTGGATAGTCTCTGAGATTATCAAATTCTCACACTTTACTCTAGACTGCTGATGACTAGAGTTGAGCCTATCAGGGCTGTCCTTCTCATCGTGGGTGTCATTGTCATTGGTCATTCACTTGCACCCTTTGGCACATGCTATGTTACTCAGAAGTTCAGAGTAATTGCCATTTCTTGTTTATCATCACCAGTAGAATAGATTAATGTGAAGTTCTACAGAACGTCCAGATGGGCCAGATCTTTTAGAGTGCCAGTGCGTGCGTGCACACAGACACACACAGACACACACACACACACACACACACACACACACACAGAGAGAGAGAGAGAGAGAGAGAGAGAGAGAGAGAGAGAGAGAGAGAATGTGCACTCTCGTTGCCCTCATGTCAATGCAAATTGTTGCTGATTCATCTCCCTGATGAATTTCCAAACAAATGAATTTGCAGATGGACACTGTATACCAAGTCTCTGAACATGTGGTGGCATCTGTTCTAGCAAAGATATAATATCTGTCACAGCAGCTACAGTAGGACCACAAATGATGATGTTTGCAGCAATTTAGTTGCATCTGCCATTATCCATCTGAATTTGGAGATGCGAGACTGGTTAACTAAGTGGTGATAGGAGGGGAAAATCACTCCAAGTCCTTAAGTTTTGAAGACAGTCCTCATTTCTGCCATATGCATATATACAATTTAGATTTATATAAATGAAATGTCTGTCTGGGAGTGTGAGATTTGTTTTGATCCTTTATGTTGTCCTGGGGGAGTGGAGATCAGTGTTTCCTAAGATCATAGTTCTTAGTCCACAGGCCATGGAATAACTGTGAAGATTATCCCAACTGTCTAGTCTATGCAGTCTCACAATAATGCGCTTCTGAAAAAGTCACACGATGGTTGGGGGATGTCTATGGCCCGGGGGACTGAGTCTGAGACAAATGTGGACAAGGAATACATAGATTTCCTGATTTCCCCCCAAAGTCATTACTCTAGTAGGTGGTCATGGGAGTATTCTGAGTTTGCGAGTATCATGGCCAATAAGGTTCCAAGTCCAAGAGATCTTGAAATATCTGCATATTCACCTTTCTCTAGTGTCCAGTCACCCAAGTAAATGGCTATAGGTCTTTTTCAAGATGAACTTTGGAAACCCAGTGGGGAACACTTTGCTTTGTATTGCAGGGACACTTCTCATGGGAACCCAGCCTCTTTATTAGGTGATGCTCCTGGTGTGAGGACTATCTCAGGTCTTCACTGGGTAAAGGGTCATGATTTTCTACTGGAGCAGCTGACATCGGCTTTCTGCTCCTTTCAACTATGTCTACTAATGCCTATTAAATGACACACTGGTTGGTTGTTCTTGTCTATTGTCCTTTAAGGACACTGTACTTCTGAGGTAACTAATAGATCTCCAAAGGTCAGCCCCCACTTGCTTCACTCTGATATGACTGCCTCTTTATTATGCTCATGTTGCTGTTCACAGTTTCTGCCATTTCCATATCTTGTCATCACATTGGTGTTATGTAGCCCAGGCTCATTAATGAAGTCTCTTCCTTTGAGCATTGTCCTTGGATGAATAGCCACTGCTTGTATCTCAGTGATGCTAGTGTCCCTGTATCCAAAGTGGGGCTCACCAGCCCTCCTGAGGATTCCAGTCAGCTAGTGCTTTTTTCTCACCTCCAGAGGGCATGTTCCAAAATGTCTGCCTCTGAACTTTTGGATCCCTGACCCCAAAGGTATATTGTGGAGAAAGACAATTCTGATGCTAGCTAGGAAAGGTGACCTAGAGTTAGCTTAGACTCCACTAGTTATGGGTGAATTCTTCCACAAGACTAGGCTCACATCCAATGCTAGCCCTAAGTTTGAAGTTCTCAGGCCACCCATACTTCTGATCCACTTGCTACAAATTCAAAGGTTGCCAGATCATTTTGCCAGGTCTCAGTGGATATTTTGCTACCATGGCTCACAGAACTAAAAAAAAAAAAATAGCTATACTTATTATTTTTTTATTTTTTATTTATTTATTTATTTTTTCATTAATCAGTATTTTTTATTATGGTTTTGTGGGGTACAGTTAAGGGTTAGGTGTACAATGACGTTTCATTCAGGCACCCTGTAGATAAGAAGTGTTTTCCCATCCCCTGACAGATGA